GTTACAAAAGTCCATGAAATTTACTGCGGTTTTCGCGAATATCCTGAGAACTCGGTAGTTTATACAAGCTGCACGCTGAAATTTGGTAGCCTGCGTAGCGGCGTTTTGGGGATGAGGGAGGGGAGGAGGAAGGAAAGCGCCGCTATTCGCATGCTAAACTTTGTTTTTTCGCTKCCGTCARTCAASGATAATCAGTCGGTAYCTYTTATATTCTTGACTGATGGCAGTGAAAAACAAATTCACGACAAGCCGTTGGAATGTCTGAGTTCACAGAGTATCGAAAACCACAGTAATGTTTCGTCCTGTGCTTCAAACCGAATAGGAAGGAGTCCAGCCATTTAGACAATAAAGTCCAGCTCAGTGAAGATAATCTTATTGATGTCCATAACAGATGTTACCACATAAAGTAACGGAAATCCGAACGACGTAGGATCAAATGTTGGCCAAAAAAAATCACGAGTCACTTGTAGTATTTCATCATTCTACTGAGAATCAAATCAAATCAAATCCCATCTGGAAGTTTTTTCTAAGTTCTTTCTCTTCATTTCTCGTCATTCATAAATTTATAATTCTTCTGGTTTTTGTATTGATAAATGGTAGCAATTTTAAGCTCAAAAACAATTAGAATAGGAATATACAGTTCAATTATTCGTAAAAACGAGTACATATTCGTGTACAGCTGGCATTTTCCCTTGTTAGTTTTTCTATGAATTTGTTTTTGAAATCCTAATATTTAATCTATTTTCCATCGAATTTAGAACATATTTGACATTTAGGAAAACAGAATTGTAAACACTTTGGTTAATGAGTTAATGAACTTGTTGAAAGTTGTCAAATCAATTAAAGTACTTAATTAAATTATTTACTAGATCAGCTCGTTTAAGTTGTCGATCAATATTGTTTTTATAGTCTCTCAAGATTTATTTTACCACCAAAAGCTGAAACGTTTTTCCAGGCCTTGCTATCTGGTCTAAGAATAGTGGTGTATGTTGCAAGACGTTGGACAATATACAAACGCAGTCAAGCGAGCAATAGCATACGGGGCAGTCCCGTTCCGACACAAAAGAAATCAAAACAAAACGTAATGATCAGACATGCTAAACGAATATTAAGCAATGTCCACGTAGGAGGTATACTAAAGAGACAATAAATTGTACAAATTATGTACTTTTTCTAACCTGTAGCAGTTTGAACGCACTCTTTTGTCCAACATATCCTTTCTCGGGAAAACTCCTTCGTTGGGTCTTCTGTTGTGTTGTTGTTCGAGGTCTTCTTTGCTCCCGAACATAGTTGCGCGTTGTTTTCTCGTTCCTCGAGATACAAGCACAGCAAAACCACACAGAATATAAGCATCAGTGAAACCATCATGATGAGGAATTTTTCTAAGCGGTTACATCCTGATTTTCTTTTATCTGCATTTTCGATGTTTATAATAAGTGACCTCGGTCGCTTTCGAGGCTTGTATGAACTCGTGTTCGACGTAGTATCGCTGGATGTTAAAAGACTTAGATTGTGCGATTCCGGAGTCTGCATTTTTTACGATTTCTTCTTCCAAACAGTTAAGAAAAGTTACAATGGAAATGAAAGCAAACAATTCAATAACTTTAGACGTCCATTACTGTGCCAGTCGTATGATTCTCAGCCTTGTTCCTTTGCGAACAGCAGCGTGTTTGACATATTAGCAARGCATCAACGATACAAAGTGCACCTCCAAGGAGTCCTTTTGTAAAGAACTCTGTAATTCTCCTGGGAAAAGCTCTTTCTCTCTCGAATAACAATTGATCAACTCGGTGTTAAGGGTTGTAATCCACTCCAAGAGTCAAAAGTATGCTGTGTCAAATGCCTCCAACAAAGTACAGGCAATTCAGTTGGTATCGATAATTATTTAAAATAAGTGTGTAAATAAGTCACTAATGTAAACAGCTTGTCAGGATACATCGACCAAAATACACATTAAACTGTTTGYACACTCTAAAGACGAAAAGGTATATAGAGAGGTAAATTATATATGCGGAAACGACGTCTATGAGTTTAGTAATAATGCACGATAGTACACGACAATATTTTTTGGGGATGACCTTTAACATGCCACGCAAATGGTGGAGTCCTATTGCAGTTACTTTAGTTTACGCGTAAGAAGAACATCGCACGCGAACTCCGARATTATCTTTTTACTGATGAAATTAAAATCATCAGTTTGGAAAGATAAGCAATATTTTCAGCCTATTTGCCAAAAAGGTACCAGCGGGTTTGGTGTTTCATGCCAGTTTGGAGTTTACACTTCGTTTTTTTATTTTTTATTATTTTTTTGGTTTTACCAACTACATCATGTTATTATTGCTTTTTTTTCAAATTTAAAGACTGAATAAATAAATAATAGACAATTCGTAAAGTTTTAGTGGTAGTTCTGGTTGACACCATCGCGCATGTCCCATTTGAAACCGACTGTTTTAATATTTATCAATCTCGTACCCAGAGCCTGCGTTTCTTCTGGCCTAAGGCAAAGCTCTGGGTACGAGATTGAATATTTATAGAACCTCTACTCATGTACAGGCAGCCCAAACAAGGTTCCTGTGTATAGTTTATAATACAAGRGAATGTATGGAAGTTATGATGTAGATGTGACAATAAAATGATTCACTCAACTTCAAAACTTGCTTCAAAACTTGCTGCAGTCGTTGCTTGAACCTTGTTCAGTCTTCTGGCAAAGTTTCGGCACGATTTGGGGCCGTTCACTTTTTTATCTTTTTTATCTTCTCTACCTAAGCCATGATCCCGTCTCTCCACACTAGCAACCTCACCTGCAACGAAGTACGTAAACAACCACTGAGCGAGGACATAAAGAAACCCTGGCAGTGACAAACTTCCATGTCTGGATGATACGGTTTCTTAAAGGGTTTATTGTGGGATGGATATTGGGATTTTACGGGGCTGGAAATTGGTACCCTGTGTATTTATTTATCTTATTTATCTCGTACTCTGTTGGGCGAGAGGATATCACGTTGAACGTAACAAAATTTGATGTTTCCAGCGGGCAACAATATGCCGTTGACTTGTAATAACTGTACCCAAAGTGATTTTCACGGAAATCATGTAAGTTGTTCCAGGTTTTACGAAATCAAATAATCAAATAATTTCTCGTTTTCTTTGACWTTTGGTAYWWWAMYAAAARMSGGRAMCYYSGGRAA